CCACATTCTTTTCTTCTTCCCCTTTCTCATTCTCTCCCTTCTCCTTTCCTTTCTCTCTCCTCCCTACATCTTCTCTCTCCTCCTCCTCTCATCTTCTTTTCCTCTCCCTCTCATCTCCACCACGCCTTTTCCACCACCACCCGCAACTCATCTGTTTCAAACCCTGGTATCTCATAATTGGAACTTGCAGCACTTTGTACAGCTATGGAAACAAAGACATACAGAAATGTACTATTTTCCCCCCTCTTAAATCATTTTTAGTGCAAAAAAAGCTACAAATAGCACACATTAAGTAAATTTGCAACACATAATTTGACTGATAGACGATGTTATTAGTAGCGAAGGAACCTGAATTAGTTTCAGATCTGATTTGATTGCATTTTCTCAACTGAGTAAAGGTAAGATACAATTAGCCAGCACCCACTTAACTAGATAAATATAAAATGCAATATCATAGGAAAATTGATTTTACACCCAACCATCATATAGCTTGCCAGTGTTTTGAAGTATCAGCAGTAAGGATTATCAGTTGTAGCTAAACCTGGAATCTGCGTTCAGAGGTTGGCCACACAAATAATACACATGTAGCACACACCTAGGCCACACTGCTTGCTTTTCCTAAGAGCCTCAGTCAACAATTCAGTTTGTCAACTGGCTTACCCATGCTAAGTGGCTTGGTACTGAATTCAGACCAGTTACTTACTGCACGAGGCTCTGACCTCCTATACTCTCTAACACCCTCTTCACATTACCAGGATCAGGAATGCAGGGCATTAGTATGCCAGGCATACTAAATCTCTTCACAAACTACACTACTGGTGTAGGAGGAATTCCACACCAGCAGCACATCCATCAGCTGCCTCCAGTGTCGTAGAAGCCCTAAAGTAGTTGGATCTGAACTTGAAATCAAGTTGGATCTTGAACTGAAATCCAGCTGGTACTATGCCACTCTCATTATTTCCCCCAGCCAGCCTCACAGCTTTTAAATTTTTTTTTCAGCATTTACTTTCTTTCCTCACTGCATGTAAGAGCACACAAGTAATTTCATTTATGGTCAAGTATTCTGAATTTTCCCATTCCAAAGAAGAATAAGAGACAACCTGTAAGATAGTTAGATTTTGTAAATCAGTGCTATAGCCAGCTCAGGTTGCTGAATGATGCCAGACTGGAAAAAGCCGTGGTAATGTATACTAGCCAAAAAAGAACTGAGTTCTTTTTTGAAAGAACTCAGAAAGAAAACTTTTCCTACTGAAAACTTTCAACTCCAGCAGATTCAACACTAGAACACACAACAATAAAATAAAATAACATATCTCAAGAAGCAAAGAAGAACAAATATTAAATCCTTCTTAGAGAGGCCAGGAACAAGAGGTCTAACTGAAACTCACAGGGCCTTGCAAAAATCAGGACTGACAGATAGGACTGCAGAGACCTCATCCTCCAGGAACAGCTTAACAAATTATTTGCATCAGTGTTAACAATAAAGGGCTGGAGAAAGAGCAATATTCCTGTGTGGTTGCATGTGCACGTGGATGTGTAAAACACCACAGCATCTAAGAATGACAGAATAAGTTTTAAAAGTTGATGAGAAGAGCAGCAAGTCAAGCAGGACCAGAGATTTCAGGCATTCTCAAGCAGCTCAAGGGTCAAATACCTGCGTTATTCGTAGAGATGTTTGATAGCTTTCTTTAAACTTCTTTGCTTCATGAGCCATGGGCAGATATAAGAGTGACAACTACTTTGAAATAACATTCCACTGGAGTTCCACTGAGCTACGGGTGTGCATGTCTGTACTGTGCACATTAGAAAAACAAATGATAGTCACTTTCACACAAGCACCCACTAATAGTATTTGAAATCACTACAGGACTCATAAAAACAAAAAGACCCAGCTTACAATAGTAGGTATTCTCTAGCAGAGAATAAAAGCTTATTCCTTAATTCTACAACCAACCTGAGTTTCATGGCTTTCCAGTTCTGCTACAGAAAAGGGTCTCACCCTCAAGAAAACTTTCAAAGGTTGATAGGCCTATTGACAAAAAAAAAAAGATGTGTTGTTACAGCGGCCACTTCTCCAACAGAACACCCCCCAGGTGATATCATAATACATCTCTGATGCACTGTTTGCTCCCTCTCTGCTTGTGAAGGTCAGAGCTGTCATTCACTTCTTGACATCCTCATGCCCTAAATCTGTGTTTGTTTGGGTTTTTATGATGCCAGCACCGGGGCTTTTAAAAGAGCATGACACGGGAGGTGTAAACTGCACTGCTTCCACCTTCTGGCTTCCCTCAGTATTGAATTCGAGCTTTAGTTTCTAATTGCCGCTCCGTAGCTGTGCACTTCCACTTAGCAGGGAGCACGCCAAGCCAACGGGCTGACCCTCTTCGCCAGACAACTGCAGACAACTGCAGACTCCTAGGTGAGGATTTACCCACCAGGTCCAGGAAGGAATCCGACTCCGACGCGTCGGATAGCTCCGCAGAGGCGCGGTTTTTCCCCTCATCATCCATTGCTCTGCGCGAAGGCACTCGCAAGACAAAAAAAGGACACCGTTCTCTCACAGAGCAAGTGAAAGCACACAGAAACAAAAGTAAAGAGCACAGCAGCCGCTTCGTAAGAAAATAAGACCCTCAAAGTAGGACAGCGCGACAGAAGCTTAAGAAACAAGCGGCACGTGGGCTGCGTTTAGAAACCTCCCAGTGGGAGCACGCTAACTGCTCCAGCTGGGCATCGCCCTCACCCACTGGCACAGCCCGTGCCCACCTCCGTACCGCCCCGCCCGCCCGCCCCGAGCCCTGCCCAGCAGCGCCCAGCAGCCTCCAACCGCCGCTACCTCACCGCGCGGGAACCCGCCAGACACCCCGCACGGGCGGCGCAGGGAGCATTTTGGGCGGGGGGAAAGCGGGCGCTGATTGGCCGACGGGAAAGGGGGCTGGGCTGACGCGGCTCGGCGTCGCTCCCTCCGGCCGGCAGGGGGCGCTGTCGCACAGCGTAAGACTTGCATCCGCGCTGCCGCCGTCGGAGGGGCCGCTGCTGGGCGGGATGTGGCGGGCTTTATCGGGACGAGGGGAGAGCTGCGGGCTGAGCGACAGAAGGGCGGGCTGCCGGAGGCAGGGCTGGGGGAAGAGTACGGCTGTGTAAATATTTCTATCAGAAGTTATACAAAGTTACTGTGGCTGCTGTTTAACTGTTTAATACCACGAGGTATGCTTGTGAGGCATTAGAAAAGCAATCAGGAAGGCAAAGGAGAGTCACAGCCCTCTAACTCCCTTGGAGAGCCCTGGGTCAGAAAGGCACTGGGCTAAGCAGGAAGGTGATGGGTGAGAGTGAACAGCTGATGACATGCAAAGGCCAACCAGCCTCACGTACACCCCTGCTGTTGTCTGCCCCAGCTCACCCCCTCTGCTCTGACCAGTGCCATCACAGTCCTTGCTGTGCTTCTCAATGCACTCTAACAACATGCACCTGATTCTAAAACACTAAAAATATGCCAGGAAGCTCATTGTTCACACCTTACCAGAAGCTTATCTTTAGATACCTTTTCTTTCGCTACTTTGTTGAGAGCACAGCTATTCCTACCAGCTTCTCAGCAGAAGCAGATGTGTAGCCACCCACAAATGCCACAAGGTTTCTCATCTCTCCTACATCTCTCCAGACTGTTAAGATGAATCTAGAGTGGCTCATCACAGAATCATAGCAGCTGGGAGGGACATCTATGTAAGTCATCAAGTCCAACCCCTGCTAAAGCAGCTCCCTACAGCAGCCCACACAGAAAGCATCCAGGCAGGTCTTGAATACCCCCAGGGGAGTCTCCACCACCTCTGTGGGCTGCTTCTTTCAGTGCTCCTTGCATCCTCACAGGAAAGGTTTTCCTCTTGTTAGTATGGACTTTCCCAAAGATAGGTCCTTCTAAAACTTGATTTAATGTCACTGGGATGAGTGTGCAGATGAGGGACTCCTAAATCCCTTTTTAAAGGTGGCTCAAGATTTCACCCCAGTTTATTTCTTGGTGAAGGCAATGAAATATCAGACTCCACACAAACATACGCCCTTGTTTCTGCTTTTTTAAACTGAAGTTAACTCAATGCATGGAGAAGCCAGAACAGTATCAACTTAAATGCATGAGAACTAATAGTAACCTTATTAACTCAGATAGCCCTGAGTTAGATTTTTCCATAAAGGATTCATGTGCAAAACGTCCATACAGTCACCAATCTCTAACCAAACTATGATGCCCAAGTTCCACCTTCTCATTTACAATTCATGTGTTCTTCCTGAAAAATAACATCAGGAAAATGTGATCTTCTCAGATAGTATTTTGGTTATGTCCTTATTCAGGTAAATCAGAGAAATACCATAGACTCATGACACAAATACAGAAACAGAGAGCAATGAAAATTTGTAAGCCAGCTTTATTCGAAGTAGATAACTATGATTTAGGCATCGGCAATAGTAACTTCAACTTCTACACCTGGCTCAATGCTGATGGAAGTGATCTGCTTCACAATCTCCGAAGGGCTGTGCAAGTCAATGAGTCGTTTATGGATACGCATTTGGAAACGATCCCAGGTCTTGGAGCCTTCACCACAAGGTGTCTTCCTGGTAGTGATTCGCAGAATCTGAAGCAAAACCATAAACACAGGGTATCAAGCTGATGTACACAAGAAGCCCTTTCTACCTTCTGCATTTGTCACACAACAGTTATCAAAGCATCAAAGAACCAAGCTATGCTATTATCTAACACAACCCTCAATTTAGTAGCACTGCTTCATATCTCAACTTTTATTTAAAAAAAAGACATTTTAGGTGCTTATTTACAGAAATACAACACGGTTTCAATTAAGTTTAAATACCTTGGTAGGCATGCGCACAGGTCCTTTCACTTTCAGGTTTTTCTCCTTAGCACCTCTGATCAAGTCAGCACAGACTGAAAACACAGAATGCTTTTAAGGCTTGTGGATCTTTCGTTTGTTGTTTTGAACAAAGACTTTTAAAAGACACGTTGGCTCAGAATAGCGTATAAAATGATCACTGCAATTCAGGTTTAGGAGTTTATCCTCATAGCCAACTACATCAAAATCAAACGACTTACCCCACAGTAAGATAGCAAAAAATCACAACAGAAGGTTATTACCATTTAACCCTTATCTGAGCCACAAGCAACCCAAATGTCAGGCAACAAGCACTGCTTCTACATTCATAATATGTGACTAAAATGTTGCCAACATCAGTTCCTAAATGAGATCTATTAATGCCTTACCGAACACTGAACTTCTAACTGACCGCTTAATAACAAGCATGACAGAGTATCAATCAAGATACCAATAGCTTTCAGTTCTCAGACATTCCAACAGTAACATCTAAAACCCCCAGACAAACAGAGGGACAGAAGCTCTGTCTTACTACTACTCTAGTTTAAAAAAAAAAAAAAAAAAAAGTGTCACTCACCCTTCTCAAGTGATTTTACATTGCGACTGGTCAAAGTAATTCTAATGCGATGAATTGCTACCTCTTGCTCCACAGGTGCCTTGCCAGTATCTTTAAATGCCTAAAATGTGAAAGTTAGATATCAAACACGACTATCAATACCAACTAACACTACTGAAAACAAGCTTGTGGAATGTAAAGAACAATTTGGCTTTGGGACTGTATTATTTGCATGACGTGATCAGGCAGGTATAATGGCATAGTCCAAACAGTGGGAATAAAGGATGATTAGAGGTGTGTGAAGCGTTGTGAAAAGTAACTGCTTTGCAGGGTAGAAAGCTTTGAGAACAGCTCTGCCTGATTTGCCTACGTATAAAGCAGCCTGTCCAGGCACTGATCATGCCTGATTCTCCTCCTTTCCTACTAACTTGCCCTGGTGAGACCACATCTGGAATACTCTTGTCAAGCTGTGGGCTCTTCAGTTCAAGAAATGCAGGGAGCTACCAGAGAGTCCAGTAGGAGGCTACAAAGATGATTAGAAGCCTGAAGCACCTCCCTTATGAGGAAAGGCTCAGAGACCTCAGGCTGTTCATCCCGAGGAAGACTGAGAGGGGATCTCATCACTGTTTATGAATATCTGAAGTGCAGGAACTAAATTGATGGGGGTGAGATGACTCCATGGCGGTATGCAGCAACAGAACAATGTGCTATGGTCAAAAACTGGAACACAAAGTTTCATACAAACACGAGGGAGAACTTTGTTACCGTGAGAGTAATGAAGCACCAGAACAGGCTGCCCAGTGAGGTTGTGGAGCTTCCTTCTCTGGAGATACTCAGAACTCACCTGGACACTTTCCTGTGTGACCTACTCCAGGAAACTTGCTTTACAGCTTTGCCATACTTATGTTCTTTACTATGAGAGTGGTGAGGTGCTGGAACAGGCTGCCCAGAGAGGTTGTGGATGCCCCGTCCCTGGAGGTGTTCGAGGGTTGGATGGGGCCCTGGGCACCCTGGTCTAGTATGAAATGTGGAGGTTGGTGGCCCTGCCTGTGACAGGAGAGTTGCAATTCATGATCCTTGAGGTCCCTTCCAACCCTGGCCATTCTGTGATTCCGTGTGATTACAGAGCGCTGGGCCAGATGGTCTCCAGAGATCTCTTCTAAGCCCTGCGTGATTCTGCGATTGTTCTTGTATCCAAACACCCGTGAAATTCTACCACCCTAACAGCCCCCGCATAAATCCAGCAGCAAGGATATCAGCTAAATGGGTGGAACATTGAGCAAACAGGCCAGAAAGACTGACTGCACCACTTCAGGCACTGATCTGAAGAGCTTCGCGTAATTAAATGTTTGGGGAAAAAAACTGTATTAAAGCAGACAGACCGAACCGATAAAAGAACGGGAAAACACACAGTAAAGAAGCATTTTAAGATAAACGTTAGAAGCACGGCGTTACTCCGACCGAGCAGCTGACACGTGCCCTATTAGCTGACCACGCTGCTCGCTTAAGAACGCACACGAAGGACAGGCGCAGAGCCCAAGCTCACCTCACGGCGGCCCGCTCAGGGCTGGATGCGTACGGCCGCCCCACAGCGCTCCGCGGGCACACGCGGCACCGCCCCGCCCCAGCGCCGCGCTTCGGGCCCGGACCCAGGCCGAGCCGGCGGCACGCGGCTGGCAGGACGCGGCGGCAACCACGCGGCGCCGCCCCCCACCCGCTCCCCCCGATCCGTCGCCCCCCGCCTCACCATGGTGGCAGCGGGGCCTTCCTGGCCGACTTATTCCCGGGCGGGGCGCGACGCGGGGCCCAGCGAACAGCGGTGAGCCAGGAGGAGGCGGCGAGAGGAAGGCGCTGTGGCGGCCGGCGGCTTATATAAGGCAGGCGGCACCGCCTCCATCCGGGCGCCGCGGGACCTTTCACCTCGGGGCCGGCGCCCGGAAATGGCGGCTGTGGGCGTGCGGTTCTGCCGCGCTCTATGGCCGGTGGGGTGGGTGAGGGAGCATTCATAGCCCATCCTGGAGTCTGTTTGGTAGCGCTGCTGGAGTTGCGATGCGGGAATCTGGAGCACAGTGAAGGAAGAACGCTGGTTCCGTTCGTTCCTGGGCTTAGGGACTTCAATTCGTTTTGTTTATTGGAGTCTCCGCGTTCTGCGCTGCCTTCTCTCGAGAGCGCTCGTTATGGCCGCAGATAGCAGCCAACAAAGCGAGCGTTTTGCTGCTGCTGCCCGCACAGCTGGTCATGCTCTTCTGTAATCATTGTGGTTGTTGAAGAAAGCTTGGCACCTTGACCCGAACTTAGTTTCACCCGGCACCCTGCCCTTCTGTGTATCTGTTTTCCCTGATCAAGTATTTCACGGGTCTTCACGTGGTCTGAGTCATGTGATTTAGATAACTTTTGTATGCCGGTGTCGCATTGTGATGCTCAGTTGTGGGCTTGTTGTGCAGTCACAGCACCTGTAGTTGTGCTTCATAGTTTCTCACTAATGTATCAGTTTTCAACTCGATGCTCCATTCTGATAAAGCACTTTCAATAAATATGAGTAATGAGTACAGAAGCCATTGTCCTGTTACAGTTCCCTAGAGGGCTGCTGTGTCCTTTACCAAGTGAGATCCCTAATTCAAAAGTCTGATTTGATAGCAGTCCAATTTCTCTTCTTCTCTGCAGCAAAAGCAGCTTTTGTTTCTGGTTGTTTGTTTCCCAATTCCTTCAACAACTACATCAACAATTTTGAGCTCAATTATGCATAAAGATAATATTAGAAACAAGAAATTGGTTATGATTTTTAATTTCACTTTAGCCCTTGATGGATTACAAGAGGATCCTCAAAAGGTTTCTGTCTTCTCTGTTCTTTGTGAACTTAGGAAGGGGGTATGGCTGTTTATGAGGCTGGATAGTGATAGGATAAGGGGAAATGATTTTAAACTAAGACAAGAGATTGAGGTTAGATACAAGGAGGAAGTTTTTCACCCAGAGGGTGGTGAGACGCTGGAACAGGTTGCCCAAGGAAGTTGTGGATGCCTCTTCTGTGGAGTGGTGGTTGGTGACCCTGCACATAGCAGGAGGGTTGAAACTCGATGGTCATTGTGGTCCTTTTCAACCCAGGCCATTCTGTGAAAGACTCCACTATTCCAATTCAGCTATTCCAATTTTCTGAGGAAGTTTTCCATCCTACAAGCGTTCTATATTTGTCATTAAGTGCATAACCACACACTGACCGTGCTGAAACACTTAATTTTCCAGTAGTTCAAATGGTTCTCAATCAGCTGTCTTGCTATGCTGTTTAATTGAAGCTTTGATGAATGTTAGTACTGAACTTTATTTCCTGATAAACTGATAAAATATTAAATAGCTTAGAGCCAAGAACTAATTCTAGTGGGATTCAATTAGAAAGACATCTGACCAATTCCTCACTGACAACACAGACCTGTAACCTTGGTTTTTATTTACTTGCAACATGCTATCTATGTAAAATTATGCCACTTTTTTGCTGTTGTACTGAATAAATCCATGTAGACATAAGTTATACCAATGCTGTTCCTGTTGCCTACCAGACATGCTCTAATCACATGAGCAATACAGTCAATTTTAAATTTAATTTGAGCTGTACAATTTAAATAAAACTTTGTCATTTCTTTTTGTTTCTATACCAAGGATTCCTTTTATTTAGTTTAGTTTAGTTTTGTTTTTCCCCTGGGAGTACTGCAAGGTACTGATTTCATTCCTTTCTTATGCTTTTACATATATATATACATATGTATTGGCACAACCTCAGCTTTCTGTTAGACTTTTTTTCTTGAGCTTCCCCAGATTTCTCAAAGCTTATGGAAAATCCACATTAACAGCACACAAGTCTCCTTTGCCAGCTCTTAAAACTCTTGGATGCGAGCTATCTGGAGCTGCTGATTTAAAAAACCTCTTCCTTTAGTTCCTATGTTTAAGGCTTTCCTTAGTTATTGTTAGAACTTTGTGACATTTGCTGTTTCTCCCCCCCGCCAAAAAAAAACACAACACACACACACCCCCCAAAAAACCCACATAGAACAGCAATTTATATAAAGTTTCTGCTTTCTCTGAAATACATTATTTAAGAAAAGAATAAAAATTACTCCTTCCTGCTCTTCACACAGGTAAATAAATATCCATTATCAAAATAATTTTTTGCTTACTTTCTGAATATTCTGCAGTTCTTAGCTCCTAATTCACATGTTGTACTATGCCTATTTCTCTTACAGTGAAGCCCATTAAATTCAAGTTATGCTTCCAAATTAATAATTCAGTTACTCCTGTTAATTAACTATGTATGTGTTGGGAGTAGGTTTCTTGCCATCATGTATGGTCCTCTGCTTCATTTTAGCTTGAACATCTCTAATTTGTGATGAATAGATCATCCTATTTTTTCAGCTGATTGTTGCCATTGAATTTAATCTTGCCAGGTTTTGCCTGGGAAGATTTTCCAGGTGACTGGGTTTAAATCATAGACTTTTATCCAAAAAAAGATGTCCCAGTATTCTACAAATGTAAATCCCTTCAGTCTAGACATCAGCTGATCTTCTGTCTTCCTTTGCTCATGTGACAGAAAGAATCCTTGAGGAGACCCCCTGTATGTCCCAGCCAGAGCCAGGGTGGTCATAGGTCAAGTG